CAAGAAAATCAACCTCGAGCTATGAGTTTTTCACTAAACTCAGATAGCATTAGAGGTGGATCTTGCAGACCCAGTTACTAAGAGTTTGCCTGAACTTGTGTTCGAGAGGCATGTTACTTCTTTGGGTTTTAGGAGGATCCCAGACTTGCATTAAGCAAGTGGGAGTTATTGGTTTCATTGTGCTCTTGGAGTAAGACGATGAAACAATAAAATAATTTTCTGAATTTCATAAATAAGGTTTTATTTATTTATTTTGCGCACTATTTACAAACATAAAGGTCCGGATCAAATTGTGGAGTATATGATCATATGGATACGTTCATGGAGGACATGATCATAGGATCTCACAATTGATGAATGGAGTCATAGCCATTAAATAAAGTTGGGCACTTTATTCAGGCTGCAATATTTTATGAAGTGATTTTGTCGAATCATTGTAAAATATTGGTGTGAATTAACATTCACATTGAAAGGATCAAGGAGAGATTTGATTAAGGTTGTTTTTCTGTCATAAGGTATCAAATCTCCAGTTAACTATAGTTATGTGATTGCTCTTAATCCTGAGTTTATTATAAATAGGTAATCAAATAGTTTTCATTCTTTGATTTACCAACGGGTGAGGTTCGATCTATTGACGACCAATAACTCGGTATTTTGGGTGTGAGATTATTTGATTATCGGTATTTATGAGATAAACAACATGGAATTTGTAGGATATGTCCCCTTGATATGTTTCGGTACTTGGATATTAAAGACACTGGCCAGTGCATGTAATCCATCAGAGAAACTATCATAGTCAAGGGAATAAATAATTGATTGAGTTACAGAAAACTTGTCAATCAATTATAGACATTCTACAAAGGGGCGATGCATATTCATGTTATAAGTGTTGTTAATCTTGGAGTTCAAGTTCGGGCTTTTAGTGGAGTAGCACCGAATTAGATAATCATTCGTTGATTATCAGGAGCCTTGATTAATAACAGATGGTAGATCCCCAAGCTAGCTTGAGACAAGGGATGGGGTATTTTTCGGATAGATGATGACTTATGGGTTACATGATCTTGGGTTTTACGACTCAAGTTTGTATCCAAAAGAGCAAGTGGGAGATTGTTGGGTTTGCTCTTTTACTAAAGCCCAAATGAGTTATTAGTATGAGAAGAGCCCAAGGAACCTAGAGCCCAATGAGCTAGGGTTTCTTGGAACCCATATAAATAGTACCTCTTAAGTCATCAGCCTCCTAGGTCCTTTTTGTGAGAAAGAGGCAAGCTTAGAATCTGATCAGTGCCCACACACTTCCCCTTCCTCCTCGAGAGATAGTTTGGAAGATTTGCCACAGTCCAGCTTCAAGGAGGTTGTTCGTGCTGCGGCGCTGAGGTGAGCTGTTCGTGAAGAGGAATCCTACAAGGGAAGATTCTACACGAGACCTGCGCACCGAGAGGTAATTGTGAAACAAGGATGATTCGGTAAGCATACCAATGTACTAGGTCCTAAACCGCTTCCGCATAAATCTAAGATATCCTTCAGGCATCGGTTTGAGCTAGCCATTGGATCGGTCATGCAATTGAATTAGTTTCGAATGGTTGACTCGGTCGAGTCTTGATGACTCGCGTGTCAAAATGGAACCAGGCAGGTCAAGTTGTTTTCTCAAAATGCACTTTATAATATATTTATATATAATTTAATATAAATTCAGGACAAAATATTCTACTCTAGAAATCGAACCCAACCTATTAGAATGAGCAGTGTTACCACTTACCACTAGGCTACCATCAATTGTTGATCAAAATGTATCTTATAGCATATTTATTATATAATTTAACATAAATTTAATTAAATAGATTGAACCAGCAATTCACCGGTTGAACTAATGACCTAGTATCTTAAGTCAGTGAATGAATCGTTGGTCGGGCTTAATTTTAAAATACTGGATATACTAATCACTCGATACACCTTTATCAAATATGAAAAAAATAATACATTTACACTATTCTTATTTTATGGTTATTTATTTCTATATTTTTTTTGGGGGAGGCGGCGCTAAGGGTGTAACTACATCATTTGTTGCAAAAAAATTCTACTCCACAATTTCTAGGACAACGACAAAAATGCCACACTCTTTGCAAAAAAATTACCTGAATGTCATAGAAATTTTTTCCAAAATGTCACATCACCTAACTCACAACAACGAGTTAGGTGTGCATACATAGCAGCAGGTTCATGATCACGTAAGTCGTTGTGTAGTGCAGCAAGATTACATGACAGATAGTTTCTGCCACAATTCTGACATGTGTCAAATTTGTTATGCAGCATAACATTTTACGTGTTGGTAATCGTGTTTTGCAGCATAGCATTTTACATATATATATCAAGGAAAATATTAATCTCATGTTACATGAGAGAGCAAGTCTCTCCTACACACTTAAAAAGGTATGGTCTCACTTTAATATTTTTTTTCCTTGCAGTGAGACCCACACAAAATTATGAGTGCAACATGAGATAACATATCTCCTGTTACATAAGAAAATATAATCTCACATATCAAATATATTAACAGTTCAAAACTATGGTAAAAATTGTTTGCTATGTAATCTTGTTATACTGCGTTGAGACTTATGAGGCCATAAATCTCAAGTCACTTATCCTCACCTAACAAGTTAGGGGTTATAGCATGTTAGGTGATTTGTCATTTTGGAAAAAATATTTGACATGGTGGCATTGAAGTGATTTTTTACGAATTGTCATCGTCCCCAATTTCCTCTCTTGCTTTCCGTAATTGGTACAGTGATAGAATACGGAAAATGTGAACCGACCAGAAAGAAAATTGCGGCAGAGAACATCATGGCTTACGTCAGTTCATAATAGCACATGCAATGGAAGAGTGACCATTTTGTCACACTCAAAAAAATTTATCAGACTGCCATGCCAACAGTAAATTTTGCCAAAATGCCACGCTGCACCCTTAGCCGTCGTTGAAGAAGTCTGAAAATATAACTAATTCGCATTATCTTATCTTAACTCTTAATTATTTTCAGACTTCTTCAACGACGGCTAAAGGTGCAGCGTGGTATTTTGACAAAATTTACTATTGGCGTGACAGTTTGGTAAATTTGTTTGTCAAGTGTGACAAAATGGTCACTCTTCCCACATGCAATTCTATCAATTAGTGACAATGAATATGATCCATCATGATCACATAAATTTGTCGATACTTTGAAATTTACTTTAATGATTTATGAGATTATATTTTCTTACGTAATAAGATAAGATATTTTATGTTGGACTCATAAATTTGCATGGATTTCACTGTAAAGAAAAAGATGAAAAAAAGTATAAAATGAACTTATATCTTTTTAAGTGTGTTGGAAAGATTTATTATCTCCTATCATATAGAATTAATATTTCCCATGATTTATATAATAAAACAATTTTCGTACACTTCTTTCAATTTTTGTATTATAATATAGATTATATATATATATATATAATTTTTTTTAATATATGAATCTCACGTAATTTTTATCTCTAGGATATAAAAAGATTCATCTTATATAATATGAAAATTATAAAATCCATAAAATGAAGAATATTACTTTTCGCATATTACATTATTATTTTTCCATACACACACGTATAATATGAGTCATATTTTGTATTTTTCTCTATTCTATATTTAATGGGACTGATGTTATATTTTATGCGTGCGTGAAAAGATTTTTCCCTTATGTAACAGATAAAAGTAATATCCCGAAACAAAAGCATTGAAAAACTTCTTGATATATACATATCATCAACCGAGTTAAATGGAGCACGTGAATCTCCAGAATATCATGGTTTTAGCCAAGATTCTAAACCCATAAGGCATAAGCTTTCTCGATGTTATTTGTCGATGTAGATAGAAAGCAGATTGCATCACTTTTGTGCTTGAGGGATTAAGGGTGACTTCCGAACTTCCAAAAAAGTATATTTTATGTTTCCTTTATTTATTTTAGAAGAATTTTTTATAAAAGTTAATATTATTTAAATTTTTAAAAAAATATTTAATTTTTGAAAAAAATATTTGATTTTTGATTTCGGTATTTTTTAGAAGTTAAAATTGTTAGCTTAAAAAAAATAGATTTTTGATAGGATAAGATATTGTTACTATAAAATAATGTTACTACCATATCTTAACCGTTGATTTTCACCGATCAATAATTATTATTTTCATAAATCAAACTCATTAATTAATTATTAATTCAAAATAAATGATAACTGTTTATTGACGAAAATCAACAGTTAAGATATGGTAATAATAGTATCTATCTTTTTTTTATAACTTCTGCTTTTTAGAAAACAGACATCCAAACAGACATTTTTTTGAGAATTTTTTTTTTCTGAAAAAAAAAACAACTTTTTCGAGAAAAAAAACATATCCAAACGAGCCCTAAAATGAAAGAGGAATATATTTCTCATATTGTTTGATACAATTTTATTTCATACAATACACACAAAAAAAGGATGGAAAGTTGGGAACTAAAGAGAAGAGAAAGAAAGACCAAAAAATGAATCTCATTCACTTTTTGTGTGTGCATAAATTAATTTAATGAGAGATAGACATATTTATCAAAATTAAAATATGAACATGTTATAAAAACGAGATAAATTAATTTGTTATAATTAAATGATAAAAGCGGTATACATGAAGAGAGCTTTATACCACCTTACATTCTGTCTCGTTGGAACCAGACTAATCAAATAGTCAAATAAGTGGAGAAATAAAAAATTGATTTGACAAAATTAAATTCTTAAAGAGAGAGAGAGGGGGAGAGAGATATAAATATCTTTTATAAATGCAATAAGTAGCACATACTGATACCATCACTAATTTAGGTTCATATTCATTGGCAGTACATATGCACCAAAACGAGTTTAATTCGTAGGTTCATCCAATCTCTGGACTTTATTTAGCCAAAATTAAAAAGAGAGCAGCTTATTACTCCAAGTAACCTACAATTTGAAGATTACAATTTGGTCTTAGCAGAAATCTTTGTCAGAGCTTCTTTGACAGAAACATTGGTGACACTGAAACCTCCATCCACAACTAGATTCAATCCACTCACGTACTTGGACTCATCGCTGGCTAAAAACAAAGCTGCTTCCGCCACATCCTCCTCCTTCAGAACCACTCCCTTCAAGTTCGCCGCCTCTGCATACACTTTGTCTGCACTCTCCTTGTCCAATCCGGTTCCAGCCATTAGAATAGGGGTCACCACCGCATACGGTGAAACACAATTAACTCTGATTCCATGTTTCCCAAGTTCTACGCACAAGTTTTTCATCAAACCCACTATTGCATGCTTAGTTGAAGTGTAATCATGTTGTATATTAACGGCATGACTCACCGAAGCTACGCTAGCGGTGAAGATGATGCTCCATTTCTTTTCGGGAATCATTACCTTAGCGGCGTGTTTGGCCGCAGAGAAAGCACCGTAGACGTTGACCTCGAAAACCCTCTTCAAGGCTTCATGATGAAGGGACAGGATTGAAGGGTTCAAATTGCCATGAGTGCCGGCATTACTGAACAAGATGTCAAGTTTTCCATGCTTCGAGACCGCAGCATTAATGGCGGTTTGAACGTTGGAATCGTTACTGACATCGCAGTGAACATAGGAAATATTGGGGTTTTGGACGGCGTCGCAAAGGGAGCGTCCGAGATCGTCTTGGACGTCGGCGATGATGACCTTGGCACCGTGGCGAAGGAAAAGCCTTGCGGTGGCTTTGCCTATGCCTCTAGCTCCTCCAGTTATCAATGCAACCTTGTCCTGTAACCTGTAAGTGCTCCAAAACGAGAGCGAAGATATACATTTTTAGTGGTATATATATTATAAGTTAGCAGAAGTATCATTCATTATATATATATATATATATATATATATATATATATAGAGAGAGAGAGAGAGAAAATTTGAGTTGTGGTTGATTACCTCTTTGCGATTGGAAGGACTGAGGAGGAGAACCCTTGCATCTTGCTTCCCATGCCTTATTGGTCAATAAAAAGGCAATCACATTTGCATTTATATAAAGTTATAAACTAATTGTTGCATATATATGATTTATATTTTGAAGGGAAACCTTCAAGAAAAAAAAACCTTTAACTTTTGTTATAGTTTCTTATCCTCTCCCTAAAATTTTAAATTATTTAAACCCTTAACTTAAAGCTTTTTTTTTATCATTTATTCTCTAAGTTAGTAGGTAAGTACTAAATAAACTTTAAATAATAGTATAAATGATTCAAAAAATTTAAATGGGATTTTATGAAATTTTCTCTATTTTTAATTTTTAATTCAGATGAAGACTTTTTTTTTAGGGGAATACAAAGAAAGCTAATATCATGGTGAAAAAATCTTCAATGTATCAAAAATATCTAATTCTGTACTCCTTTTTACTAAAAAGAAAAATTTATTAAGATTTGGAGAGAAATATATAAAAAAAAAAAGTATGGGTTAAAATGAAAGAAATTTTTTCTATTTAATAAAAGGAAATATCGAATTTGGTGGTCCCGAGTTTTTCTCCATCATGGTGATTGTCCAAGTCATTATAAGAGATATTTTGTCTATGTACACTACTGATTGGGATCTTAATGAATGGATATCTATATATCGGTGGCTTAACAGCAATATTGAAAATGGTTCTAATGTCATATTAAAAATAAGACCAAAATGAGCAAGCATGGTTTGGATTAGCTCAAAAAATTATCAAAGTTATTATATGTAAAATTTTGATTAGAGATTGTCACAGTTCATTTAAATCGAATTATTAATATAATTCAATTTCATCAAATTAAATCGGTTTAGATAAAAGGCTTGATTCTTAAATTAGTTAAAAAATATTTAATTTTTAAACTCTTTAGGACAACCGTGGTTATTTATAATGCGATTGGATTCAATTTACAATTCAATTCAATTTTCTATCTTGCATCAAATGAAAACAGAAAAACGGTTCCATTATAAACCTAATCAATTTAGAAAAAATAACAGATTTTAATCGGTTCAAAAAATTAATTTGATCCTTAAACTGATTAATATATATATATATATATATATATATATATATATATATATATATATATGAGAAAAATATTTCTCAAGCAACTTGAAATAAGTTTATCTCCAGCCACCCAAAACTACGTCGTTTTATTTATTTATTTCATTATATTAATTGATTCACCTTTGATTGGTTATGATTCTGTTTTTCTCTCTCTTCCTTTACCACTATTGATCCATCTTTGTACGGTTATGATTTAGTAGCCAGAGATAAAATTATTAAGTCATATATATATATATATATGAAAAAATATTTTTCCGACAACTTGAGATAAGTTTATCTCCGGTCACCCCAAAACTATATCGTTTTGTTTATTTATTTCTTTATATTAGTTGATTCATCTTTGATTGGTTATGATTTCATTTTTCTTTCTCTTCTTTTATCACCATTGATCCATCTTTGTACGGTTATGATTTAGTAGCCAGAGATAAAATTATCTCCAGCAACTTGAGAAATAATAAGCCCATATATATATGGGTTTTATTAATCTCATGTTAAAGGAGATAAGTTATCTCATGCCATAGAAACAAACTTGTGGGCTCCACCACCTGAAAAAGAAAAAGAAAAAAAAGAAAAAGATGGCACAATTATCGAAGGATGTATAGGAGTGAAACTTATCACATATAACATAAGAGTAATTTTTTCCTATATATATATATATATATATATATATATATATATATATATATATATATAATTGTTTATTATACCATCCATTTCAGTTCATTTTATATATATTTTTCACCCATTAATTCTAATCACATTTAGGAAGTCAGGTGATATTATAACCTACTTTGGTGCAATTGGGTCGACAAAATAGGCTCAACTCGGTGAGCTGAGTTTTATAACCCACCTAGCCCATCCCGCCTAACCCGTCAATTCGCCGGGCTGAGATTTTTTTGGATATTTTTAATATAAAATTGGTTCAGGTTGGAGGGTTAACCCGCCATGCCCGTCAAACTGGGCGGAACAAATCGAGTTTTTCACCCCTCTCAAAAGCAGGGAAGACTAGATTATTTTTTGACGAATTGATGGCGAGGTGGGGCGCCCATTTTGCCACCTCTAGATGCAATATATGGATCTTATGCTCTTTGTTTACTTTGGCCATGTTTTGTTGGTCGGTGTGATGAAGCGATATACCAAAGGACCGTGCGTGAGGCGGGACTCGCATTTGTAGGATGATATTATGCGTTGCTCGATTTTTGTGATGGTTGATTAGATACTCACCTGCTACGACAATATTGATGAGGTAGCCTTCTTGTGCTTTGCACCCGTCGTATTAGGATTTGGTTATGGCGGTGACTGTTGTGCATTCACCACTATTAGGTCTGAATCGAAGTTTATCGATCCTCACAGATGGCGTCAATGTTTGATCCGAGAGGATCATAATGTCCAACCAGTGGTTGGTAATTATATCTTGGTTCAATACCGTCGCGTGAGTTCATGGAAGAAACGTCGCAAGGGTAGCAGATCATTGTGAACAATAATAATGGGGTATAGTCGAAGACGTGCACAATAATAATGACGTATAGTCGAAGACGTGAGATATGTGCACAATGACAACTAAGAGAATATGGAGTGTACTTGGTTGGCTGAATCTCTTTTTTATATATGAGTTATCTAATATAAGTAAAATTTTGGGCTTCTTAAAAATATTGAGGGCCCAATATTTGAACCTCTAGTAATATGATAAGATTAATATCTTATCTTATAGGATTGTTTTCTTATTCTCTTAAGTGATTATGTGTTGGAAGCTATTAGATATGAGCCCATACGACGAATCCATAATACAACGAGCGTATAAGTTTTCTCCACTTATGTGATTGTAACTTGATCAATTTATAACCAATGTTTGACATCCCACTCTTATTTAAATTTCAATGTTTCCAACAAGGACTACTTCCTTCTATAAATCATGCGAAAAATTTAGACAAAAAATATTTAAGAAATTTTTCTGTATATTATTAAATATTTATCAGTTATAGACATTAGTAAATGAACAAAAGTGGGATTAGTCTCATCTCTTCTCCGTAGCGAAACACAATGCACCCGTTGTTTCAATGAAAGGGTAGCCTTCTGACCGTACACTGAGGACAAGGTGACCAAAGAGGTTGAATGGGGATACCCTCCACGTTATTCTAAAAAAAAAGAAAAGAAAAAAAGAACGAAAGTATCTAAAAATCTGTCAATATTTTTTTTGTCCATCGAAAAGCTTTACTTATTTTTGTATGTTTTACAACATGGGGTAATGTTTTCCTCCTTTCACATGACACAAGCAATTTTCCTATAGACACATAAAATGGGCCCATTACTTTTCTTTTATTTTAAAAATCGTGGCTCCCACAATTGATTGTCTCTATGACATGACCTAAGAATTTTCCTACAACATAATACTTGTTTTCCCCTTACAACATAAAGGGAGAATTGACACGGAATAAACTAGTCCAATGAATAACATATTTGGGCAATGATTTTCTCCATCCACATGTGAGAAGATGAATTTCTTGCATATATGTAACGACCCGAAATTTAAAAAATTAATAAACAATGGAGTCGCCACCAATTTTATTTACTTTGGAAAAATTGGAAAACCTTTTATTGCAAACTGGTCTTTAAAATTATAGATCAAAGGTTCGGGAGTGTAATTATGCGCAGGGAAGGGTGGAAACTTAATCCCACTGCACCCCTGACACATCCGTTTAAAAACGGTTACCTTGAATTAATTGTGCGAATTATTAATAGCTTTTAAAAATATTTGCTTAATCTCTTTTAAAAAATAATATAATTACTTAGGAAGTGAGGAAACTAAATTATTAAAATTTTATTTTTAGCTTGACGGAAAGAGTTCCGCTCCGACGTATCCTCCGGTACAGTGAGGAATTCAAAGCTACGTCGTTCTTAAAAAAATATTTGTATGTTGGCTGGTTTTATATTTTGGAGTACCAAGCTGTCACAGCTAAAATAATTCTGATCACACTCAGGGTTGACAAGCCGTCACGGCTAAATTACCCCCTTTAAATGATTTTAAGGTTATAAAAAAAACAATATATGATAATTTTAATGAGTTACGAATCATCAAGCCGTCACGGTTAAAATGATCCATAACCAAACACGCAGGATTAAACAAGTCGTCACGGCTAAATCACCCTTAGGCGTAATTTTAATATTATTATATGTTTTAAATTGATATGAAAATATGATAAATTTGATTTGTTTCAGATCATCAAGCTGTCACGGTTAAAATGATCCGAAATGAAATATAAGGGATTGACAAGCCGTCACGGCCAAATTACCCCTTTTACGTGATAAAATGATTTTATTGTTGTTGCTTATGTGTTGATTGAATTTATTTTAAAAAATAATAATAATAATAATTTTAAAGAAAATCATTGGAAAGTTTAGGCTTTGATGATTTGTATTGGTTTCAATAATTTTTATTAGTATAAATTTTCAATCACCAAGCCGTCACGGTTAAAATGATTCAAAAGATTACGGGATTAACAAACCGTCACGGTTAAATTATCCCCTGAGGATGGATGACCATATATATCAAAGTTGAAAATCATTGGGTTGATTTAAAATAAGGCTCTATTAATTTATTCTCATGTTTTTATCTTGTTTTTTTTGTACTTTGTATTTTATATTAATGTTGTATATAATGTATATCATAACATAAACAAACAAGTAATAATAATAAAAGAAACAGAAGAGACGATAATGTAACCACTATTTTTTATTTTATTCTTGTAGTTTTAGGAATATTTAATTATATTTCATCAACAAATAGATAAATACATACCCAACACAAAAAGGTAACCGTTTAGTGACATAAATATGAAATATAAAGAAACACGGACAATTTGGTTATTTTGTTTTTTTTTTCTTTGTTTTTTTTTCTTATTAAACTACTAGCACACGAAG